TTCCGAACACAAACCTCCCATGACTCCAAAGTAAGCTGAGGTAGTTCCACCTCCTCCGGGCATTGAATATCCACCACCACCACCGCCGCCACCGCCACCACCACCTGCTGCAGCCGCTGGATCTAAACAGTGAAAGAGAGAGAAGAAAAGAAATTTACACTGGTCACTTATTTTGAAACAACTTTTGTCTTTCTCAAATCGCCCTAAAATAAATGAATGAACATCGTGAATGCATGTTGCCACAGTTATACGAGTATTTTTGGCGCTCCTCACCATTTACAGTGTGATGCGGTTATCATTATGCGTTTTTGCCGTGTAGCGCTATAGCACTTCTACAGCGAGCAATAAAGACGAACCAGGTGTGCGTGTGTGTTTGTGTATGTGTGTGTATCTGCCCGGATATTTCAACTCGGCAACCAGGCAAGCTCCAGCGTCAAAGTTTTGCCAACGGGTACCCCGGCCAAATGCCACCCCAGAACCGCGACACCAACTCTCACGCACTTCTGGACCTAGCGTATGAAAGTTTTGGCGGAAAAACCGCTATCTCAGGAACCAGAAAAGCTGAGAAGCTGAAATTTTCAGGGGATGTTCCTAGCCAAGCACAATTTAAAGATTTCAAATTCAGCCTCCAGTTACGCGTGGTACTCAAGTACGGCCTCGTGAAAATTTTCGGGGGTAAAATTGCTGACTCGACAACTGGAAAAGCTAGAAAGCTGAAATTTCGAAGGGATGTTCCCCATTCACGTAAAACTCGGAGATTTCAATTTTGAATGGTTCTCACATATGGCCTCGCAAAAATTTTTAGCAGGAAAATTGCTAACTCGGGATCCTGGAAGTCTGACAGGCAGGAATTTTACAGGGATGTTCTCAGCCCACTAGAACTCAAGAGTTTCATATTAAGCCCCCAGTTACGCGTGGTACTCATGCTTGTCCTCACGAAAGTTTCTAGTGGATAAATCGCTAACTCGGAAACCAAGAAAGCTAAAATTTTGACAGAATGTTCCCTTTTCAAGTGCCACATGGTAGTTGTACAATCAGCTTGCTGAAGTTCTAGGATCAGCATTTCACAAATTCTACCTATTGCAACTCCAAGCGGTCCTGCTACAGCACGAAATACTGCAAAAACGCATGAGCTCGCTAATGATTTCCATTAGGCGTAAGGGCAATTACTCGCTCTTTTCTTATGCACTTGGGAAGCTGACCATTAGGCGATGTAGCAGTGGTCAAAGCAACTTATAGTTCGAAGTGTAACTGATTAGTACCACTGTAAAAGCTATCACATACGTGGTGCAACTCCGATAGCTGTTTTTGTTGGATCAATA